AGCTTCTTAATCCCTCTAGAAGAATTTGCAATTGACTACCATGACATTTAGTCTCAAACTACTAGGATCATTTTCAATCACTTCAACTTCGTTATTAATTGACAAGTTGCAATTAACGCATATCCGTGTCGCCTCATTTATTGGAGCAGCCGGCAAGCCCATATTTGCTCTACGGCTTAAAGCAATTTCCCTTTTCACGTCATTGTCTCCAACACCTATCCTCACCATTCTTTGAACTAACTGTTGCCTGTTGCACACAAAACAGTTAAGTCTGTTTCTGTTGAATGCTGGTGCCGCGTTCATTTTTCTGGCAAAAACAGGTAGAAACTGCAAAAGGTTATAAAGGAATCTCAAACGTAAAAATTGCTTTTAAGAGAAACTCTAAATTGAAAACTGCAAAAGCTTATGGAAGAAAGTCAACGTAAATTCACAATAATTGATTTATTTTTTCAAACGTCAAATATGCGTCTTTTTATGCATTGTGTTTTTTTGGTTTGTTCACTGTTGGCTTGACAACGCGTCATTTATAAGTATCGGGTCTTCAAAAAAAATAAACAATAAAAGAATGCTATGGTTTTTTAAACGTATCTCTTAGCAATATTTTTCTTCAGTTTTGTCAATTAACTCTAGTGTTAAAATGTCATTTCAAAAATCCTGACCAATAAAGAAACAATATTGCGACGTACGTTTTTGTAATAAGAGTAGTCTTTGATTGTTTTTTTTTTTAAGACGTTATTAATGAATGTGAATTTACCTTTTTTTTCTGAAAAATGAAAATGAATGCATCTTTACCTTACTTTGCAGAGATTGACGCCATTGATGGGCTTAACAAATAACCGCCAATGGCGAGTTGAGGACAAAAACAGCCTGACAGACGAAGAGTTTAAATCAATTACCCCTTTTGCGAATTTGTTCCACAAGAGGGTGGGGTTGGATGTGTCACCAAAAGAGATTTAATATCTTATCTCTGTAAAATGAAACAAGGGGAATGAGATGAATTTTTAAAATAACTATTTAATTACCAATCGCGAAAGGCTTTAAAAGCATGTCCGTAGGGAAGTATAGCCAATCTCTAAGCATTCGATTTTTGATATATATAACCCGATTATTCCTTATATTGACAGCAGGGACCTATTTAAATATCGAAGAAAAAAAAACTTCTTGTCAGACCTATTATACATACATAAAGGATATCATCTAGTCGAGTGAAACCTACAGTAATTGTTGCGCTATATAAGACATTTTATCTGTATACTACTGGACTATGAATCTATTTTAAAATTCTTCGATCACAGAATTTCTACTACGTACTAGCTTTTTATTGTTTTAATAATCCCAAACGTGCTTGTATTGGAACACTTTTTCTGGTGTATGATTTGGACCACCCTGTAGATACTTTGCGGGACGGCAAACTGCAAAACATGGTTCTATCTTCTAAAGGTATGTGTTTTTAACCAAATTCCAACCTTTTATTCATGTTTTCCTAAAATTTATTTGAAGTAAAGTAATAGATTTTTTTAAAAATATATTCTAGTAGCGTAGCATAAAGCGGCGTTTCCACATGCAGAGTTTATTGGCGCCAGGCGACTGGCGTAACTTTTCTGGCGCGTGGAAACTCAGAAAATTAGCTGGCGCCAGTTAACTTGCGTCACTTATTCATGCGCCAGTAAAGTAGAATCGAGGTCTACTTTTTGGCGCCAGTTTGCCATGTGTGAAACTTTGTCAAAAAAAATACAAAGGTTTTCACTATTCGTTTTCAGAAAAGTAATGAAATCGTCAAGTAAATCTAAAAAATTGCACATATAAAGTTTATGGAAGAGCATCCCTGTTTGTGGAATCACAAACTTTTGTGTTACAAAGCTAGAAATAAACGGGATGATGCTATAAGGATAAGTGTTGACGTATTGTGCGAGTTCTCGTGTTCTTAAGTGGTTTTGATATCACTGCCGCCGAAAGCAAAATAAGAAGCTTTGGAAATTCCTCATGCGGTCTCCATCCGTTAACTCAGTAAATTATTTGATGCTCCTAGAGCTTTTCTGCGTGAAATCCATTTTCGTACCTACCCAGATCTTATGCTTATGTTTCTTTTTCTTGTTTTTTCGGGTCTTCTGCAATAATTCTAGAAACAAAATATTCACAGCAACATTAAAGTTGACGCCATTTTTCATTTTTCTATTGCGCCAGTTGAAAAAAATTTGATATCAAGTGGAAACAGATACTGGCGCCACTATTATTATGCCAGCAAACTGGCACGTGGACTGGCGCCAATAAACTATGCTTGTGGAAACGCCGCTCTAGGCAGCCCTAACTCAAAAATATGACCGGTGACCACCCCAAATTTTTGTGCAAATATTATCAGTAGAGATAGCACAATAACATACTACAATATCACACAATTTCACCGATTCCGGTTTTCAATGTATTTAGTGCGGGGTCCAAAGCAAATTAGTAAAGATGTTAAAATGTTTTCATGGCATATTACATACCACTGGAAAGGGGATAAAATAGAGAACTTTTTAAGAGAATTTGAAGATCACGATCAACTTCAGTTTTTTTTTAATTGCAATGGAAATTTCACTTTTCAATTTATTTTTAACTGTTTGAAAAATTTTATCAGTTAATAATAAAAAGACTAGACGTTAATGGCAAGTAATTTTGTATTTGGTGGAACCATACCACAGTACACATAAAAATAAAAATAAAATTTGGAGGCTAGGCCAACAACTTTTTTTTAAATTTAAGTTTAAATGGCGAATTTTGATATTTAAGAAAAAAATTTAAAAAACCAAATCGAAAAAAACCCTAGGGGTCAAAGATGAGTTATTATGGCTGAAGAGTTAGCAAATGGCGCCTTCTTTCGGGCAGGTAAATTTGGCAAACGATGCACCAAACACCCTGTATATTACTCTGTTTTCAGGATTTTCAAGTTTGTCGATAGTTTTTTGTTCATTAATATTCCAACTCCTCCATTGTTATCATGATCCTTCCCCCTGTAGAGCATAGTATGCCCGAAATCCAGATGGAGGTATTGTTCTCCTTTCCTCCTTGTTTCGGCTAGTGCTACAATGTCCCAGTTTATTTTCTCCAATTCGTACTCTCATTCAACCAGACGTTCCTTAGTTCCGATTGATCTTGTGTCGACATATTTGTTGTTGAAAGGATTTGGCAATTAGAACACCACGCTCGCCGGGCGTCTTGGTGAGTTTTTGTATCAGCCGCTCCTAACCTGGAGAACAGACGCTGTTTGCAGCCGCCCAATCTGGGTCAAACGTTGCGTGGGAATCTTCTTGGTTTCACCTTCATCTCTTCGAGACCTTATCGCCGGTAGCTAGGCTACCGCCGACATCGCTCCCTGGATAAAGGTTACTCAGCCCTCTCACCACGTCAAGGTCAAGATTTCCCTAGAGAGGGAGCGCCGTGTACTACATTCGATTTCAAGTACACATGCCGTGGACTTGCAAAAGACTGTCAAGTGATTTTAGTTTCATTTCAGTTTCATACCAGTAGCTCCGAGTGCGACAGGCCTAACTATTAACCAAAAACTCTCAGTTCCACAACAACAGAAAGACCCAGAATAGAAAAAAAAACACACGAAAACCTTGACCGGCTTCAATTTTTTTGAAAATTTCTGCGAGAATAGATTCAAACCGTGGTCTCTACAGGAGAAACAATACTCGAGAAAACTCTGGAAGACTGCAATAGAAGGAGTATAGGTGAAAAAGTACGAGAATGTTCGTCACGAGGCTTGTCAGGAAGTTGGAACCATTCGCTAAGATAAGGATGGTATTGAGAAGAAAATTGATAAGTTGGAATGTAATTTGAGATCAGTAACTGTCTCGCCTGCAGTTAAGCCACCACCATACGGTGGATAGACATTGTGGGAAATTTACAGATGTCGATTCGAGACGGTGCAATGGTTCATGGTTAGAGCTACGATGATATGACTACCGGTTTGATTGTAGCATTACGTGGATCGTGGATCAGCAGATTTATTAGACACTCTTCTGCCATCTTTCCACCAAAATTATGGTGCAATTGTTGATGCTTTAAAGCATCTTCATAGGGATCAGCACCAAAGCAACTGAGAAAGCTATAGAAAGCCTACGAGAATTTAAAACCGACATCCGCCGTCTGTTAATTAAGCATATCCGAAATGCGGAAATAACTAGTGACCGAAAACGTCATAAATGGAGTTAGATGAATACAGTAAAAGATAGTGATGCCGCGAGACTCGAGACTGGTCTCGTCTCGTCTCGTGAAGTCTCGACGAGACGAGACCAGACGCGGCGAGAGTCTCGTGTAGTCTCGAGTCACGAGATTACACTTAAAATTTTTCTTACATAGCTTTATTATTGGACTATTCTGGGCTATTTGAATATGAAATCAGTAAATTAAATATCACGGTTACTCTTTATGTGATTTTTCACTAATTGCTTTTTCACTGTGGCAGTTTGGACTTCCGTTATAATATAAAAATAAAAACCAATAAATATAGTTTAAAAAAACTAAAAAACACGCTTTTATAGTAAATTGAACTAAAAAGTGAAAAATAATTTTTTATATAAACAGAAAATATTAATGAACAAAAAATATTAGAATTATTGTGAAAAAAACGTGGGGTGCTTTGTTCCAGATTTCTCGTACATTGAGCACCACACGCTTTTTTCACAATAATTCTAATATTTTTTGTTCATTAATATTTTCTGTTTATATTAAAAATTATTTTTCACTTTTTAGTTCAATTTACTATAAAAGCGTGTTTTTTAGTTTTTTTAAACTATATTTATTTTTCACTTTTTAGTTCGATGTATTATTTTGTTGTTCATTTTTTTATTTTGAAAAAAAAACTTTAATTCTTATTTGTGTTTTGTTTATATTTGCACCATTTATCTTTATCAACGGCTAGTGCGTCGCACCGCACCGGTATCATACTCACACTGAGTGTGTCATTCCTGAATTCGCCCCAGAGATTTCCAGACTTTTGCAGACATTATACAGACTTATTCAGAGCTTTCCAGTATCTTCCAGACTTCATCCAGATTTATCCAGACTTGTACAGACTGATCCGGATTCTGGAAAATGATCCCTAAGTCTTTTGGGACCTTTTCCAGAATTTTTCCGACCCTTTCAAGAAGGTTCCTGGCCTTTTCCAGATGTTTCAAGAGATTTCCAGACTCTTCCAGACAATATCCAGACTTATCCAGAGTTTTACAGACTTCATCCAGATTTATCCAGCCCTTATCCAGACTTGTACAGACTGCTCCAAATTCTAGAAACTGATCCCCAGATCTTTTGGGACCTTTTCCAGAATTTTTCCGACCCTTTCAAGAAGTTTCCAGGCCTTTTCCATACGTTTCCAGACTTTTCCAGACGTTTCCAGGCATTGTCCAGACTTATCCAGACTTATCCAGACTTATCCAGATTTATCCAGACTTTATCCAGACTTTTTCAGACTGATCCGGATTCTAGAAAATGATCCCCAGGTCTATTGGGACCTTTTCCAGAATTTTTCCGACCCTTTCCAGAAATTTCCAAGTCTTTTCCAGACGTTTCCAGAGATTTCGAGACTTTTACAGACAATATACAGATTTATTCAGACCTTATCCAGACTTGTACAGGCTGATCCGGATTCTGGAAAAAGATCCCCAGGTCTTTTGGGACCTTTGGGAGAATTTTTCCGACCCTTTCCAGAAATTTCCAGGCTCTTTCCAGACGTTTCCAGAGATTTCCAGACATTTTCCAGGCTTTATCTAGATTTATCCAGACTTGTTCCAGCTCACTTGGCTTGTTCCAGGTTCTTGTTCATACACTTCCCAAGGTTCCAAAAGTTCGCACGCATCCCTATGTGCCCGAGCGATAAACATTTTCAATGTTACTTACAAACATACATACATACAAACATACATACATACATACATACATACATACATACATACATACAGGTGTAGCTAATATAAGCGTGTTAATTAAAAAATAGAGGGTGTCCGAAAAATAGCGTAAAAGCTCTCCACGTAGTAGGGGACCCTTTGAGAAACCCTAGAAAAATAATTAAATTAAAAAAAATCCTTGTCCAGCATTATTTTTGGTAATATGAAGAGGTAGGTAGATGTGAAAATTTACCTTCGAATTCTTCAGGTAATTACATGGGTATTTAATTTAATTCTCTGACATATTGTCAACGGGATATTTTCAGAGTAGCCGATTTCAATAAATATTAAAATGCAAATAACTTTCTTAGGAATGCTACTAGATTTGTTAAAGTATTTTTCTGGGGTTCCTTGTAGGGTCCTCCACCATATAGAGAAGAGTTTTCACGCTATTTTTTGAACACCCTGTATAACTCGAGACCAGACGAGACCACTCGAGACGAGACGAGACTTTGGTACTCGAGACCCAGACTAAGTCACGGTCTCGTCTCGAAATGTCGAGACGAGACGAGACCAACCCTTAGTCTCGTCTAGTCTCGTCTCGCGGCATCACTAATAAAAGATAAATGGAGTATTGAGAACGCTGCTCATAGACAAACCATCAAGAGCAGTCATGCTTTGATCAATCCCCTAGAAGTATAAGCTTATTCGGCATATAAAATATCCGAGCCAAATCAGGGATACCATAATAATGAAGGATTTTCAAGAAACTTTAGTAACTAGAAGCAATCAAGAGAACATTGCATGTTGAATGTCACCGCTGCGAAAGAAGAGGATATTTTGAGCGTGAATGTAGAGTATTGCTTTCCTTCTTATGACTCTCAAGCTTTGATGGATTGCTTGAAATATATCTCAACTGTTACCGCTGCGGAATATGGGAACATTTCAAGCGTGACTGTAGATTACCACTGAGATATCGCTTTCCTTTTTTTGCCCTAAACCCACAATACTTCCTACTTCATTCAACTATTAAGGGCTCAAACCTTCCACAATTATTATCTACCACTTTTTTACTTATTGGATATGAGGGCGTAACTATTTAGAAATAAATATGAATTTTAGTTTATGTAAATAATCTAACTTTTAAAAAACCCTATTATCTAAGAACGCCGCATAAGATATGTATATTGATGTGAAAAGATTGGATTTGGGTGACCAATAAATATGGAATTTTCTCATTCAAAATTCTGTTCTGTCGGTTGACATCATTATTTAATAGTTAAAGAAACAACTTTTGAAATTTCATAGCAAAATACCAAGAGCTTTCTAAATAAAGTACAAGAAAAATAGATTTCAACCAGAAATATGTATTCTAGATAATAATAATTGTAACATCTTGTCAATTTAAAATATCCTGATATTCTTCAATTGGGATCACTGAGTCGCTATAACTGAAAATAAAAAAATATCAATTAGAAATTATTTAGGTAAATCAAAATAATGCCATTTTATTTTCAATTTTGCATACCATATATCGCTAGGTTGTTTCTTCCCTACCAAAATGTGTTTAAATGGCAATGACATGTTATGATAATCCAGAGGTATTCTTTCAATTTGAACAAACTGAACGAAGTCACTCGAGGTTTGCTTCAAACAATTGTCATCTGGCTTTGCCACGATTTGATTGGCCCTAACTGTTTTTTTGCACGCCTCATAAACAAACCTGGACGCGGATTCCGTGCACTCTCGAATTCTATTAGCGACATGTCGCGTTCGATATTTCGTATTCTGTGTACCGTTTGCTAAACGATTTCCCCTTATATTAAATATAAAAATCGACACTAGAATTCGACATGTAGAAAGCGACAGAACACAGAATCTACGTCCTATGTGATTACAATCAGTTCGTTCAGATCGAAAGAATACCTGTAATGAGTTATCTGAATAGGTGAGATGGGAAGTGAAATACACTATCCATTTCACAGTTATACAGCTGATCTGATAAAATATTGCAATATGAATCTATATTTAGAATGATTTATTCCATTATTGTAGGTATTTGATGTGTTTAAATAACTTACTAATTATAATAATTGTCAATAAAACCACCCCAACAGTCGCCAATATTATTCTCATTTTCATATCCTTCCACCACATTTTTCTGTCCAACCTTTTACCAGTTTTTTCAAACATTTTAGAACATTCTGCTAAATGCTTTGTTCGTTCGTCCATTTCCGAAATTTTCGACCCTCTTTCTATTACTTGTTGCACATTAATCTTCATTATTTCAGTTACTTCGTCGACTTGCTGCTGGGTTTGTTGCAGTTTGGTGGAAAGTTTAGATTCCGATTTCGGAGGCGTTTGAGATTGATTCTGATCCATTGTAACAACTTTCATAAAAAAGAACTAGCTAATAATAAATACTTAGCAGTTTAAATTTGAGATCAAGATACTTTTTTTAAAAAAATCTGGATACACGTATGCTACTTAGCTACAAACAATGTTGAAACTACAAATATATCTCTCCTGGTATACTTATCTTGGTTTTGAGAGTATTTTCATTATGGCCACTTAGAAATTCAACTAAGTGGTTTGAGGTTTTGTAGATTTTATATATTTAGCCAGTGATTTTTTTAATTATTTCACATACCTTAGCGATGACTTACCAATACCTAGATTTGGATTGCAATACAATTTTACCAAAATTTAGATGAGGAAGAATCTCCAGCTGGCTTAAATCCCGCACCGCTCACCCGATCAGCCTTTGAATTCTGGAGAGTACAAAAGTTCGTTATTTAACTATCAACCAAAAACTCTTAGTTCCACAACAACAAAAATACTTGTGGCTATTGATGTAGGAGCCTATGGAGGTGAAGGCAATGCTGGGGTGTACAGTAAATCTCATTTTGCTAAAAAAATTGCTGGGGGTAGCTTCAATCCTCCGCCACCCGCTGTTCTTCCAAACACAACTATTTTACAGCCCCATGTCATCCTTGGAGACAGTGCATTTACACTCACAGAAAATATGATGAACACACAAACTTTATCTGCTTCTGACACCACAATTGACGTGTCTCGCAGAGATAGAAAATAGTATATTAAAGTATAAGTGGATATTAAGGTCTTTAAAACACGCGCGATTTTTCGAGCACGACGGCGCAGCCGGAGTGCTCGAAATAGAGCAAGTGTTTTAAAGACCAGTTATCCACGAATACTTTACACTATTTTTTTTATTGGTACCCATACGTTCAAATCAAAAATTACTAATAATTGTGGAATGCTAAATTCGTTGACACTTGCTATATTTTACTTGACGTTGTCTACAAGTACCTACCTACTCCTGACAAATCAATAATTAAAAAGTTGACATTTAGACCTTTCTCGGGCTGTTGGTTGTTGATGTTGTCATTAGTAACTTCAAAGCACGCGCGTTTTTGAATGTTGGATTTAAACACGCTCAGGAGTACTTTAAATAAGTGAAATGGTTTATCAATAAAAAAAAGAGAGCTTAATTGTAATAAATAAAAATTAAAAAGTAATAAAAAATGACATGCGTGCGCAACCAGTGGCTGCAGTGTAGCCAGATTGTATTGTTGCAAAACAAATGTAGACAATACAAATCGAACATTATAACTTTAAAGAAGTGATATATTGTCAAGTGTTTTACAATGCCTTTAATTAGACAGAAAAAGAGCTTTAAAGTGTATCTTTTTCATCCGGCAACATTCCACAATAAAATTGCAAAGGAATATGTCAAGTATAATCTAACATAACCTTAAACGACACTGGGATAAGTTCAAGTAATACGTGAAGTATTTGTTCCCAACAAACACAAGTACGTTTTTAGAACGTACATAATTCGTACTTTTTCGGACGGAAGTACGTCCGCGGACGTACTTTTTAGGTCCCGCCGACGTATGAGAGACGTCTCTATGACGGTCGTTTTCCACAAAATAGTACGTCCCAACGTACGTATATTTAGGGACGTACTCAGTACGGCTTTTTAGGTACGTGTTTGGGACGTACATTAGCGTACGTATTTAGTAGAGTTTTTTAGGAATGTGTTTGGGATGTTCCTACGGGGTTTTCCCATATATTTTTGCACCCCACCTGAACTGGTTGATTGGATAGGTATCGAAAAGATGTGAATACAAATGTTGTATTTACACCTTTTTGATACTTATTCAATTAACCTGTTCAGATCGGGTGCAAAATATAGGGGAATACCATATAAATAGAAGTACATACATATGTATTTATGTGTATGTTTATAGGGAAAATAAAACCACATACTTCATTTTGAAGTACCTTACAATTTTTATACTTAATAAATATCTCAGCAATTACACTAAAAAACTGAAAAAAAATAAATAACATAAGATCAAATTCTAACATACACTTAACCTCAAACAACAGTAAATATAACAAAAAAAAAAATAGGTTGGTAACCTACAAATATTGAGAGAATTGTGAAGGGGCACAAACCAGGAAAAGTTTCACACAGTAAAAATCTTGGTAAAAGTATTATTATACACAAAACACAAAGTAAAGTGGTATGGGCCAAGCCGCCAAGCTAAACACGTTGCTGCAATCAAAACAAAATGGATACCGCTTCACTTGACTTGGTAGAAAAAACAAAAATTGAAGAAAACACAGCATCACACCACACTACAAACACAAGAGAAAAAAATCAAAAGCAGACAGGAACAACTTAACGAGGCGTCGGTCGCTTCGCATCAAAATGATGAGCCCTCCACCTCTAGATAAGCTGTGGTCGCAGTCGGTAGTTCCTGCCAGTGTTGCCAGATGTCAAATTCAAAATTATCAGAAAAAGTTTGTCATTTTTTTGCCTTTCATCTCTAATTTCTATTTATATTTTTCTAACAAAAAAATTAACCAAAAACAAACGGTGCTGCGAGCTCAACTCATTTCTAGCTGGGAAATATTTGATGTGTTTTAATATTCAACTAAAAATCTTAAAAAGATGCATTGAAATTGTAGTTTCAATAATTTATTGTAAATTTAGCTTGTGATTTTCGAATATTAAATCGTAGTCAAAATTATAATAGATTTCGATAATTATCGGGTCATTGGCAACACTGCACACAGTGCACCCTGCCGATACCAAGCGGACGGCGGAGGCGTCCCTTGTTTTCTACTCTATTGGTTGCTATTGGTTTATTTCATGTTTATTTTAAATATTCGACCAGGCTACCACTTCCGTAACTTTTGCTCGGAAATTGCATATTATTTAAAAATATATTATGATGATCAGAAATTGATAAAAAAATCATGAATAGATGGGAATGATCCAGCTCGTCTTGTATTGTTCGTCTTTGAAACGAACATGTACGTCTTTTACAAGACGTACGCAATATAGATTTTCACGTACGTTCTTAGTACGTACTTTTTTGACCGTATATTAATACAGCTTTCCACGTACGTGCTCAAAACGTAATTTTACACCCCCGACGAACCGACGTAAAAAGGAACTAAAATGTACGTCTTCAGTACGTACTGGGTTTGCTCTTTGTCGAATTACACGTTACAAAGAAAGAAGGAACGATTAATTCTGAACTCGTCCTTGAATACGAATATGACGCAAGGCCCTAACAAACTCGATTTTCATTGGATGCTCACCTGGAACCCACGAGTTGCGCGCGCACACCTGGTATTACGAGACACGTCAATTGCTACATAAAGTCTGCTTTTTTTGAAGATAATTCCCCAAGTCAAAAATTTAGTAACTATGTTGGCAGCACAAGCCTTTTCTTCATAAAAAAATTGAAGCATTGACAATTCTACATTGTATTGCCAACATAATGTCATTTTGACTTTTATCTTAAAAAAAAAAACAGATTTTATAATTACCGCCACTGTCGGGCAAGAAGAACAACAGAAAAATCATTTGAAATAATGAGCCAATATTTTAGAATTTATTTTACTCCCATTGCCGTAAAAAGCGCAGAAACTATTGACGATATAATTTTTGCAACTTGCCTTCTACACAATATGCTAAGGGATGCTAAAGTACCGTACCCAGAAGAAAACATTCATTCAAATCCGCCAATCCCCACTGAAACCTTTACACCTTTAACACCTTCTCAGAATAGACGGCCATCTTTTGCAGCTAGACATGTTCGTGAAGTATTTAAAGATTATTTTAATCACGATGCCGGCCCTGTTGGGAGGCAAAATAATAATATAAATCGTACAAGATATCATGACTATCAGCCTTCTTAAAACTACGTTTTTACACATTTAAAAAACATTTATTTCAATTTTTGAGGTTATGTGTTAGATATAGTTTAACTATGAATAAATAAATGATATAAAATATTCTATTTGCTTGTACACAAACATACCTGTTTTGTTAAATCCGGATTCTCCCATTTCCTTTGCAATTTTTGCCCAAATATTATCCTTCATTTTCATGTCCTTGTAACTTTTCAATTTTTTTGCATATAACGGAGGATTTTCCTTCACTTTCTCGATTAACATCCTCTAAGGAAGAAAAATCTAATTTGTGGTACTTCTTTCCGGATATATTATTAATTTTATGTTTTATATAATTTTAATGAAAAAATAAAAATAAAAACGTCTATACACATTCAACAAATTCGGCGAACTGTGCCGTTTAAATTTCGTTCAAATCAAAACTAGTTTGATTCAGACGAATTTCTGTCCCCACGCTTTGCCGAAACTTCATTCCGATCTTTTATAAAAACCGCTACTACGTACTACACATACAGGGTGTCCCAAAAAGATACCGACAAACTTTAAGGGATAGTAAGGGACATCAAAATAAGCATTTTTGTTTATATAAACATGTATCCGCAAATGAGCCGTTTGGGCTGTAGAGCAAAAAAACGATTAAAATCATACCCAAATAATTAAAGACTTTTTTACTCGGTTTTTTATTTAGTTGACCACCAGCATGATTTGCTAAACGCACTTTTGTTAATTTTTAAGATGCAAAAACATTTCTTTATCAAAAACATTTCTTTATCAAAAACATTTCGAAAATTCCTACCTGGGGATCATCGTAAAATTTATTATTTGTGATTAATTGCCGTAATTAACTTAGTTGTCTTTTAATGATCCGACGGTGCAATCTTTGCATTGAAGTAAATGGTCAACATTTTGAACAATTATTGTAAACCCTAATTTATTATAATTAGGTAACGGCCCAATTAAGGGTATTAAGGGCCCAATTGGGCCGTTACCTAATTAAAATCAATGTTTTCCGGTACCAACCGACTTAACTTCTGGTTGGCAACAAGAATAGCTATTCTCGCAATTGTGGCGAATGCCTTTGCGAGTCGATTTGCTCCAATTTAATACTAGTTTTATACAGTTGTTGGTTGCAATTTTTAGTGTGCCGATCAGAAAATAGATGGATACTCTGTCTTCATCTCACTTGTTCCTAATTTATCAGTTAATACAGCAAAATTAATAAGTAAACAGTGATTTAATTATTGCGAAGAACAAA